GGAGATTGATTAGAAAAAGATTAGAAAGTTTGTTTAGACTGAAAATATATTTTTAAAAAAATTAGACAATAACAAAAATCATTCAAAGTCAAATGTGTCTTACCTAAAGAAAACATGGTAAAGACATAATTGTTACCTAATTTTGTCTAAAATTTTAAGATGTTGTCCTAAATTTTTAAACTAATAAGGTTTGCTATGTGATAAGAAAGGGAAACAATAATTCTTAGATCAATATCCTAAGTGTTCTGATTGGAAACTCCTTTGTAAATCATGACAAATTCAAAGACAAGTTCTGCTCAAATCTGAGAACAGGAAACTTTTATGAAAAAATGTGTAAGCCCTGTGACAGTAACTTTATTGGGAGAAAGGCAAATTAAATCAGTATAGCCATTTCTCTGATAGATGGACCAAGATTCAAGAAAAGTGACTTGTTTATAATACGGAAAAACTCAGAGTCTAAGAACCTTAAGAAAAATATCTAACCATGAATTTGTATACACACTCACACACACACACTCACACACACATAATAAGAACCTTTAGAAAAAATATCTAGCCATGAACTTGAAATACACACACTCACACACATATGTAAAACTTTCAAACTGAAAAAAAGTACATTTACTCAATAATTGTTAGTATACCTATATTACATAAAATAAGGTACTATCTTGACAGTGATTTGTTTTTACTTTGAATAAAACTTGTCAAATTCTATGTTCTGTTACATTTTTTTTTCCCCTATTATCTTGGGCAAACTCTTAGACCTGCATTATTTTATTTCTTTCAGTATTTGCTCTAATATTGCATCTGTCACAACCTGGGGAAATTGAAAGTATACTAAATTAATTTCTTAGAAATATTCCTAGATATGAAAGCCTTAGCTTTCTTCTCCAAATATTTATTCCATGTCTATGTATATGGATCTGGCTAGAGTCTTTATCTTAAACTCCCTTTAAACCAATCTGGAATTTGTCTTTCCTGATGGCCTAGGGATTTAAGTCTCAGTACTATAACTGCTATGGACTGAGTTGGATCCCCAGCCAGGGAGCTGACCCACATATGAAAAAGCAAGTTCTCCTGTCTTGCCCACTGCTTCCCTCAACAGTGTATTTCAGTAGATCTCTCTGTTTCACTTTCTCCTCTGTCTCTGGTGATTCCTCTTACCCCCTACATCTCTGACCTATACCCTAGCCCCTTTATGCATAAATAAAAAAAATAAACCTTTAATAATAAGTAAGTATATAAACCAATCTAGAATCATTCTGCAGCACCGGCTCTAATATCTTTACTTTCAAAGCTTCATACAATTGCCACACACCAGAAAAATCAGACTTTCATTGGGGCAGTTTTGTTATATGTGGTATTTCTAGTTCTGACTTGCTAATTTAGGTACTTGTAAGCCAATAATGACAGGCTTGTTCTAGAATTTAAAATGTATCCTGAAGGACATTTTATCAGATTTCCTTTCAATGTTCTAATGTATAAGAGAATTCTGCTGTCCGTACTACATAGATAGACCTAAGCCTGAATTGTTAAAATACATGCTGGGAAACAACAACATTCTGGGTTATAATTTGCAAACTGTGAAAGACAAACATATGATATTATAAAATGTGTATTAGTTTCAAATATTCCCAAAAAAATATTGTAAAATCTGATGGAAATAACTATATTGTACAGATAAATCCTGTAGGTAACAAGGCACCTACATATTTTTAAATGGATTTAAATTTGTGAACGTGTTTATAGAATTTTTTGATTTCTGTGTGCATCAACATCTTCTGGAAATCACCAGATATATTTTTTCTTCTCTTACTCTAGTAAGATTTACTTATTTTTCTCTTGTATACATTCCCCTTGCAAGGCCGTTCAGAAAAATGTTGAATAGAAGTAGTACTAACGGATTTTATTTTCAACTTCAAGGAGGAAAATGATCTAATTAAATATGATGTTTATGGTATGAATTAAGTGACTTTATATGATTGAAATATGTTCCCTGAGTTCAATTTAGTTATGATCCATTATCAACTACATATTTAATATGTTTTTATTTAAATTTACTTCTTATATGCATTTTTTTTACTTGGATACATATATTTTGCTAAGGCTGTTTTTTCAGTTATGTTTGAGAGAATGGCCATTAGTTTCCCTTCTTTTAACAATCTTGTTAAATTTTGAAGCAATACTATTTTCCTCTCATTAAAAACTTGGGGACAAATTACTTTTTCAGGTCTCTGGTAGCATCTAAGAAAGTTGTTTTTTTTTTTTAGCCATTGCAATTTTCTTGCTGTAATGTGTGTTTTCTTTATTTATCCTGGAATTTATACTGAATATTGAAACTGTAATTTGATGTCTCTAATATATTTAAAATATCCTTGGCTGATATTTACTCAGATATTTTTGCCCTCTCATGCCTTTCCCTGCTTTTAAGACTACAATTAGGTGACTATTTCAATTTCTTACCAAGTTTTACTTGTTAAAATTACTGTTTTTTAAATTTTAACTCATTATTGTAGTTTAAAAATACTTTTATTTTTAAAATCACATTTTCACCTGCACCCAATCTGCAAATGATGTTAATCTGACAAAATTTTAAGTTGCATTACATATTGTTATGTATTACTATTTGATTTATTCAAATTAGCCAATATTGTACAAAATTGGACTGACTGTAACCATAGGAGTTAAATGACCCATGTGTTCAAAATTATCTGTAGAATTTAGGTGCCTATTTTATTATGTTTTTCTCTTAGGACATGTATCTTTATAGCCCTATTTTTTTTTCCTTTAATGTCAAGCTTTGTGTGTTTATAAGAAATTACAGTGTGGATTAGGTTATTGTTATCTGAAGAGATTTTTAATTTTAATCCTTATCCCTAAGATGTAGACTTTCAGACACCCTAACATGTGATATGTGTTTTTTTTCCAATATCACTCATTATTGTTTTTCCTAAAATTCAAATTTTTATCTTTTAATTGCTATTTATTCTCCACTTCCTATAAGACTTTCCCTGCTTGCCCAGCACCATTTGGGGGATCAGCAAATATCTTTAGAGAAAAGCAGTACAGAATGTTAGTTCTAACCGAGGTCTATCTTTGCCCTTTAACTTTGGCCAGTTTTTTAAAGCCCAGTTCCAATACTCATTCTTCCCCAAGCACTGCTGATACTGTCAGAGCTTCTGCTTAGTTACATTATGCTAAACTTCTCAAACTCCCACCCATGCTGCTTAAAATAAGTAAATATCTTTAAGGGAAAGAAAAAGTAGCATGCAGGATGATGAGCTGAATTTCATGAATTAATCTTTATTCTAGGGTTTGGTCCTGGGAGTCTTTGTTGCATTAGCAGCTATTATTAAATGCAAATAGTTGTTTTTCCTACCATAAGTATAAGTTTTTCTAGTGTTCCTATAAGTTACTGAATTGTAAGAAGTAGAATTCTCTATCTGACTTTCTATCTTGAAATAAGCTATATTTTTTACTACTAATTCATTTTCATTTTTAATTTGCCTTAAGGATTTTAAGGATTTATTGTCAAAAAATGTGTTTGTGTCTGCTGGATTTATCACACACCTAATTATATTGAGATTATTCTCCCTGATATGGAATATGGTTTACATATAATTTTTTTTGAAAATCAATTTATTATTTTAATTTGGTAACACTGGGATCCACCCCATCAATTATGCCATCCACAAGTATTTTTTTTTTTTTAAGATTCATTTATTTGTGCATACAGAACTGGGGTACAGGCCAGAGAGAGGCTCAGGGGCGGTGAGAGGCTTCAACAGAGACAGAGTGGGGAACAGAACAGGGAGATCGACAAAGTACACTGCTGAGGGGAGCAGCGGGCTGGTCAGGAGAGGTCTGCCACGCCATGTGGTCACCTCCGGGGCAGGGGGGGATTGAACTCATGCGGAAGCGCTTTAGCTTCTCAGTGCTGTGCTTTAACCCGCTGCGCCACCAGGAAGGGGCCCACAAGTATGTTTTTTAAAGCCTTCATTGTGGGAACTCCCTAGTGTAGCAGAGGTTAAAATCTCAGTGCTGTCAAGGTATGAACAGCCACCTCAGCATGAGTCACTACAGCAAGAGTTTGATCCCTGGCTAGTGAGCTGACCCCTATACCACAGCAGACCTTTTCTGTCTCCCTGCTGCTCCCCTCTGCAGTGTTATTTGGGTAGATCCATCTGTTCTGCTCCCCACTCTGTCTCTGGTGAATCCTCTTACCCCTGCACCTCTGGTCTATACCCCAGTTCTTGTATGAATAAGTAAAAATAAATTAAAAAAAAAAATAAAGCCTTCATTGTGATACAGTCTATGATATTAATAGTTGCAGTAGTCAAATTTAAATACTGTAGTCCTTTAAAATCATAAGCTTGATGTATATTTCATATGTCTTATTAAACATATATTAATATATCTGAGTAAATATAAGTACTAGGCTGATACATTTATTTGTTTACTTTTGTTTAAACAGTTGGCTACAAAATATGAATCTCAAGAGGGGATATACTTAATAGTTTAGTTGACAACTTTTTTCATAAGCTACATTTCATAATTTTTCATAATAAAAAGAAACAACTTTTATAAATTTATGGAATTATAACTTAGAATAATATGGTTAGGGAATCTGCTTCAATATCAAATTGATTAAATTATTTTCATTAATCATTAATATTATAATAGGCATGTTAGGAAATTACTATTTAATGCCCTACTACGGACAGATGATACATCCTTTAAGTCTTTTAAGCATAGAAAATCAAGTTAATTTATAATTCATCCATTGTTTCATAAAGTAAATCATTGATTCCACATATATCTTTTGACAGGATAATAATGATGACAATAAGGAGAGATGAATTGACTTTCTCCATAAAATTTAAAAATATTTGTATAGCGCTGGACAATAGTGGCACATTTACTTTTAAGCATCCTTATTTATTTTCTTACAATATTGCATTTTCTAAATACGACATTTTCTTATGTGCTGTTTACAGGCTGTCAGGAACTGGACATTCTCTGACACCTCAAAGTGACATGGACTCCAGTAGCTCTGAAGAATTCTATCAGGCTGTTCACCATGCTGAACAAACCTTCAGAAAAATGGAAAATTACCTGAAACAACAGCAACTCTGTGATGTTATCCTGATTGTTGGGAACAGGAAGATTCCTGCACATAGGTAGAGTAACCCATCCTTCTCGGAAATATGCATTCCATTGTTTAGAAGTGATAAGTTGGTGTGCAGTCTCCAGAATATTCAGATTAGAGAACTAGGATCATAGAGAAGTAGCTCTTGAAAGCTGACTATGGAACTGAGACAGTGAAGGGGGATGGTAAGGCAAGGACAAAGTTGAAGGGCGAATCACACACTATGGTGGAGGACTCAAGCATGGTGGTGGGACCACTGTGGTAACATCACTGGGAAGAGAGAGGACCCTGTACTCCATAACACAAAATGTAAACCAATGCAGCCTTAAAATAAATTAGAAGGACAATCCACATTTCTAAAGAAATCAAGTTTTTTTCTTTTACTTTTTTCTGCTTTGGGGTGTGTTGTAATGCCATTGCATTTAAGCTTCCTCTTAAGAAATAAAACAAACATAAATACTTATGAAACAAAACATTTTATAACTAGAATTGATAGATACTCCATTTTGCATGTCTTACAATCCTAATAAGTGGAAATCAATTTTAATATGGAGGGCATACCTAATTTCTTCATTGTGTTTTTTGCCCAAATTCAAAGAACATCAGGTTATCTTATCTGTATATTGTTATTTAAAATAAAAAATTCAAAATATTTCATATCAGCATCCTTATTTTGCATTTAATAATGTATGGTGTGGTAATATTATTGAGGTCCAATATATTAGAAAACTGACATTATTTTAAACATCCCTATGTATTAGTTACTAAAAATTCTAAATTTCATGAATACATCCATCTGATTATTTTATGCCACATATATTACTATCAATTTACTTAGGGACTTCATTTTATACTGATAGTTTACTCAATTTTTTTACAATTTGAATGAGAAAATAATTTTGATTATTTTTGACACTGAATATTTTAAATAGATGACTATATGTTCAAATATCCTCAGATTACCTTTGATATATATCACTTCTAATCTATTATTAATAGTGAATTAATAGCATTTAAATTATTTGTGGATAGATAATGTTGTAATGCACTATTTTTTTTTTTTGTTTTAAAAATTAGGCTATAAGAGGCAGAAGGGATTGTTAAGAGCAAATAAGAGAGAGTTAATGGACTATGTTGGCAGAATATGAGTGCCTTGGTGATAGGTGTGGTAAGATAACCACATGCATCTGCAGAAGTAAAATCCTATACCTCTAAATCATATATAGTACAACAGGCCAATGTATCTCAATTAAAAAAAAAAAAGGCCATAGCAGAGATTTAAAAATTATATTATCTCTATAATACATTTAAGTGTGTTCTATTAAAAGGATTCCAGATAAATAGGTGTTATTTCTCCCAGGATAGCAACATTGATATATAGACATCAAATTTGAGTCAATATACTAGAAATGCATAAAAAAATAACACTTGACACTGAATAACTAATTTAACTAATTTAGGTCATGTGGGTTCAATCTACCAGCTAACTATGCAACGATTCCAATTCTAATAAAAACAAAAAATACCATCAGGGTCCTCCCTTCCTGGTGGCTCAACCAGTTAAAGCACAGCACTATGAAGCCGTCTGCAGCCACTGTAGCACAAGTTGGATCCCGCCATCAGGGAGGTGACCCATATGGTTGGCAGACCTCTTCTGTCTCAACTTCTGCTCCCCTCAGCAGTGTATTTCACTCATTCTGCCTTTTCTGCTAACCATTATGTCTCTAGTGAATCCTCACACCCACTGAGAATCTGGCCAGTACCCCAGTTCTTGCATGCATAAATAAATAAATCTTAAAACAAAATAAATAAATATCATCCATATATATTTGTTAAATCTTTCCTTGAAGTCACATTACCATTGGCAAGGGCTATTAACATAGATTAATTATTATTGAGGACTTCATATACTATAAAATATATGGCAAATATCCCTGAGCTATCATCTAAATAACCTCAATATTAAAAATGCATTGAGAGATATTCCTAATTTGAGAATGCAGCCAAATTTGTTTCAGTTAGCTTACAAATTAACTAAATAGTATATACATTAAAAGTTAAAGAAAACCAACTCAAAAGTACATTAGCACATCAATGATCAAATGATCATTAATATTTTTAAATTGAGTGGCACTTCATATTATTTATATAATCTTATTGTACAGTCTTTTAGGCACTTATATGATATTTCTCACTTGAGACACTTTAAACCAATAGACTGAGCAATTATCTTTATTATATTCTGCATCGTTTCTTTATTACTCATTTTACGTGGAATGCTTATATTATTTTCTAAATTATTTGTTAATTATACAGGTTTTTTTAATAATAATCCAAGTGACTAAGAGAATGTTTCATGACTTAAACTCTAAAATATATAATATTGCTTACTGCTTATTACTCAAAATTATATTTATATTAGACAGATATTAAATTATTATGTCATCTGCATATTCCTTAAATATGATAAGAAATACTTTAAGATATTTGTTTTTTTGTACCATTGTTTTAACTTTTAACACTATTTTACACATAATGTGGATAATTATGATTCTAAATTAAACATACTAAAAATACATGGGAAATAGTTACAGGGCATCAGCTAAAGGCAAATACTGTTTTTAGTATTTTCAGTCTTATTGCATCTCCTTATTTATAATTTTGTAAAATAAAACAACTATCATTAATATAAAAGCATCCCTTTGATTAGAATAATCAATTAGTTACAATAACAAATGGATAGACTTTTCAATCATTCTCATATTTTGATTAGAACATCTAAGGATTGCATTTGGACAATCTGCATATAGTGTTGCAATCAATATGACACTATTTTAGTAATTTCAAATAATGGAAAATAACATATTAAGTTTTTTTTTTTTCAGGAAAGACACTGGAAGCTTCTAACATAAACACTCTCTAAATATTCACTTTAAATATTTTCATATTATCTCATAACAAAATTTTCAAATAAATCATATTTAAATTAACAGATTGTTACCATGAAAGGATTTTATATATATTTTATATATATTGGTTATACTGTATGTATTTTCTTAACCAGATGTTAAGTCAAAGCTGAAAGACTAATAATGCTTAAAATGATGCATCACCAGGTTCAACAAGGTTTAGCACAAAAAAAAAAAAAAAAAAGAAAAGAACAAGATTCTGAATTCATCTTTGTTTTAGGCCCTCAAAGTAATCCTAAAATAAATATAGACATCTCACAAATGGCCTAGAATATCTGATTAACAACAAGTGAACCAAACATTTGAATGTAAATCCCTGAATGCAAAATATAAAGAATGACTGTTATTGGTAAATTAGATTGCTAAAAATTAAACTGACAATATCAACGAGAATTGTTTGGAAGGTCAAATTTTCAACCATAAAAAATGGGACAATTGGGCCCTCCCTGGTGGTGCAGTGGGTTAAAGCACAGCACTAAGAAGCTAAAGCAACTTTAGCATGAGTTCCATCCCCATCCCAAAGGTGACCCACAGGATGCGGCAGACCTCTCCTGACCCACCTGCTGCTCCCCTCAGCAGTGTACTTCGTAGATCTGCCTGTTCTACTTCCCTCTGTCTTGGGTGAAGCCTCTAACCTCTGGCCTGTACCCCAGTTCTGGATGCAGAAATAAATAAATCTTCAAAAAACAAAACAAACAAAAACATGGGACAATCAGGGTGTACTCTTTTTTTTTTTTTTTAAGATTTATTTATTTATGCACATAGAGCTGCGGTACAGGCCAGAGGTGCAGGGGTGGTGAGAGGATT